ATATATTGTTCAAAGAAAACTTAATAATTGGATAGTAACACACACGGTGTACCATTTATGATAAAAACAAACTAAACCATTGTTTTTCTAGGAATATATAGAAATACTTAGACAACTTGCAGGAACTTTTGTCTACAAACTCATAACAATAACCTCTAGAGAGGGCTGGCGAGGAGGTGGGTGGTCAAGGAGACTTGCATCATCAGTATTTGGAAGTTTTACAGTGAAGATGTACTTATGCATGAGTGACTGATACTTTTTACAATGAGCAATTTTTATGTAAACTTTGACCTGGTATTTATATCAGTCTCTTGGAATATAACCAGTGCTCTGGGCCACCAGCCACCTGGTCTTGTTTGACCAGTGCCTCTGCAACTACGTGTTTACAGACACGTATGGAGTCATCAACGTTTAAGGTGAACAGGGAGACAAGAATTTTATTGGACTTTATTCCATACTTAAATCACTGATAATAGTTATTGCCACAGAAACTCTCCTTCCCATGGTCACCACTAGTTTGTTATGATCTCATGTTCTTCTGTCATCATTAAGGACAGTAGTCTATCCTTGTCGTCATTGATGACCCTGCCATTACCGTAGTCATCCATCCATGTGGCCACCAAACTGGAATTCTAGAAGACGGAGCTCACGTGGCGTGTGCCCGCGTTCTCTGGCCCTTGATAGGTTCTGTGCTGACCCACCTGCTCTCACTGGTAGACACCCAGGCTCTGCGTTCACCTGTCACCTCCGTGAGAGTTGCACAGCCCCTCGTCCGTCTCTGAACACTGTTTTCCCTCTCTCCTCTCCTGTCTCAATCTCAGTCCCCTCCAGAGCCTCATTATCTCATGCTCAGCTCTGTGGAGCCACAGGAAAGAAGACACGATTGCACTTCTCTCAGTGCTGTCCACCACTGTCACCTTGTCACCGCGAGCTCCTGAGAAGCAGTGTCAGGACCTGAGTGGATTTTTGAGGCATCGTTGGCCTTTGCATAGCACAAGGTGCTCACACCTGGGTGGCACAGTGGAAAGATTATGGGCTCTAATTATCTTTAGGACTTCGAGCAAGTCATCCGAGCTCTCAGAAACAGTGTCCTCACTTGCCAAGTAGGAATGACTCTAGGACTTGAATCTCGTTATGAAGAATCAGTCCTTGAACACACACACACATACACACACACACACACACACACACACACACGGCAAGCACAGGTGGAGGCTCTTTCTCTTAGGTGTTTGGATCTACCTTCCTTCGTTCTACAACCTCAGTCCCAGACTGGTGGGTGCACGGCAGGTGCCCCTAAGTTATCACCCCTAGTGGTTCCTTCACCCCACTGCCATTTCAGTTGAAACTCACCTGCAGAAAATGCAAGGTGCTCCGTCCATGACATTCGAGCCATTTGCTGGTACCTCCTGCCACCTGCGCCCCCTTCGTCACATGTACTCAATGTCACATGCACTTTTCACCTTTGTCAGCATTTCTTCTCGGTCTACTTCAGACCTCCCCCGAGTGTTCCCTCTCCGGTAAACAAACTCCCTTTCATAAGCAAAGGAACAGAAGCTGTGCGTTCCTCGTGTAGCTCACATGGGTGGGAGGGGTGAGCAGTTTGCCCATGTGTGGGTCTTTGAAAAGCATTGCGGTAAGAAAGAGAATTATGAAGGCCTGTTGTATGCAAAGCATCTGGAGGTTAACTGTTTATTGAGCTGTGGAGGGGGGAAAACTTATTTCAAGCACAAGATTAAAGTGGCAGAAAAAGTCAACGAGCCTGAAGCCTATTTGTTGTCGTGTGGTGAGTTCCTGACCCTCCTGAATCTGAAGTCACTTTCTGCCCGTGACCGCTGCCCATGGGCTGGAGGGCACTGTGGCCGGAGCCTGGAGAGAGTCATCATAGAGCAGGACTTGGACCCCTCAGAGGGCTCACAGTCTGCAGTGGGAAAGGGAGAGCAGATAAGCCCAAGTCCAGGACTGCAAATTAAAGTTTGTTCTACAGAAGAGACACGTTGCAGCTTATTTCAGCATTTCTCCCGGCTGGTTTCAGAGGTTGGCATTCTTCCGTTGTAGCTTTTTTTTTTCTAACCACGTATCAGCTAACTTAATGGAAAATGTGTATTTTGTCCCTACCCTGTCATACTAGACAATGCGAATGAGAACGTCTGTTATGTGCTCAGGAGGGCGGTGGGCTGCACCTCTCAGAGGAGCATCAGTGACTGGTTCTCAGCACTGAACAGGAGCCCAGAAAGGTTTGTCTCATCCAGGACGCACACAGCAGACAGACCCACAGAGCCCCAGACTGGGTGTTAGCCGGCAGAGTGCCAGGAATGGGCACTGTTAGGTGACTGTCATGAGTACGGCCCCCCCCTTATACATAAACTCCCCCTGCCCTGCAGGGACAGGGTTGTCACAGGAACCAAGCAACTGTGGAGCTGGGGTGTCATCTCAGGACCCTACACTTTTGAAGTCCGTTTTTTCAGTCCACTTTGTTGTGCTCAATCTTTTAGGCCCCCAAATTATATGAAGAGCCTTAGAAAAATTTTTACGTAAGGGTTATTAACATCTTGCTAAGTTCCTCACGGTTTGTAATGGACTTTAATGTGATTATAAGGTTTTTTAAACATAAGCTTTGCTTTATGATTTATCTGGGGGTTCAGTTGACCAAACTTGAGTAAATATTTTCTCCTTTAGTATAACTCAGAGGGGCTGGGTGTCCACTGAGCCCTGGGCTGGCCCTCGCAGAGTGACCGAGTCCCCGTGCAGAGCCAGGTTCTCCCCACGTGGCCGGCACTGAGAGTGTAGGGAACACTACTGAGATGTAAATCTTATATTTACTTTCCATTAAGAAGATTGTGCAGGCATCGGGAGGAGAAATGGCTTTAAGGAAAGATCTACAGGTGAGTGGTTTTTAGTCTCTTGGTGGGAACATATTGGCATAAAACCGCATTACTGCAGAGAGAGATGCAGTCTTGTAATGATTATCTCTGTTGCCTGGAGAGAACACTGCAGCAAATGGAGGTTTAGTTAACATTCTAATAAAAAGAGCTACCGTCGTTGGAGAGTAAAATGTGTACCCTAAGATAATTTAAAACTAGAAATGTACTTATTTCATTTCCTACTGGAACAGAACTGAAATTGTGTGATTTACTGGAACAGGAGGTACAGAGAGGTGGGCTGGGTGCAATAGGTGTGCTGTACTCATAGGAAAGATCATTTGTAAAGATGCTTTAAGGAAAACATTGTAAAACCTCAGATTTAAAGGCTTTTCACCCACTCGCCCTGATTCGCCTAATCTCTGTTTCCTCTCCAAACTTCCCATCCCTCTCAGCCTCTGCTTGGGTGCCCTTGTCTCTGGTACTTCTAGTCACAAGCTCACAACCAAATTTGGGAGTTGCTTTCCTGCTGCTTTTGTTACGGTTAAATAAAGATCCGTGTTCAGATTGTTTCCACATATTTCTGACCATTAGAACATCCTTCCTCGAGGCTGGCAGAAGTCCTGGCTCTCAGTGGCCCCTGTCCTTGTGATGTGGGCAGCTTTACTCACCGAGCAGCCTCATTCCTTAGTCATATTATTTTCTCGAAAGTAAACATTCAACTGTAGCTGCAATAACATTACCCAGCAGGCTTCCACCATCCTCCCATCATTATTCTGCGTCCTGCAACGTGCCCACCGCCCTTGTCATCTGCCTGGAACTTGCAGCAGGATCCCGGGGGCAGCTGGGGGTTGCCAGGACCAGATGGATCAGGCACCGATGCTCGGAGCCTCCTGCGAGTCTAAGCTCTGGAACCTCCGCAGAAAACTGCACGTATGTTTAGCTGTGTAGGATGCACACGCTTTCAGTGGGCTCCGGGCTCCCTGCAGCTTGTCCGGAACCCACGTGTTTTCTGGGACACCAGTGGGCAGCCCTGACTTCCCTGCCAACCTGTGCTCGGGAGGAACCGGGGAAGGTGCGCAAACCTGGGCCTTACCGCAGGAGCTGGAACAAAGCAGAGAATTGGGGGATCGGAAGCTGAAGGTTTTTCGGAGTCATCTCTTTTTAAGCAGAAAATATTTCAGAAATCCAATTTCAAAACCGACTTTCAATCACAATCGCAGATGTGAGGTTTTTTCCAGAATCCAGTTTCACAGAAAAATGCACTTAGCTGGCTTTTCCTGGGCTGACTTGTTCAGACACGTTAGTCCTTCAGGATGAAGTGCTGGTGAGATTTTTAAGAGTCCGCCGAGCCTCGCGCCCTGCTGGGTTCTCTCGGGCTGCCTCGTTGGACTTAAGTGGCTCAGACCTAGAGGAAAGTAAAACACACATGTGCTGTGACCACTGGCCCTAATGTGTGTGTTTAATGTGTGTGTTTTGTGGAGTTGATGGCATCTCGGGACCTACGGAAATGACAAGAGGGAAAACAGGTTATGGTTTCTGAATGTGCCATTGAACCAGAGAATTGGGTAAAAGATTTGAAAAGAAGTGCTCGGCGCTGTGAGCTGGGCGCTTTCACCCTCAACTCTCCCTTTCGTTTGATGTCTGCCTCGTGTTCCGCCTGGACCGGGCCAGCCTGTCCTGCTCCCACGCCTTTATCTGTGTCAGTCATCCTGTTAAAACATGCTCCTAGCAGTCGGTTTTGGATGCGAGTTAGACCGGTACTTGGACACTAACCAGGATCCCGGGGGGAGGGGGAGCAGCGTGGGAGTGGAGGGGGTGCATCGGCCTGGAGAAGTGGGTGTCGCATAAGTTTGCCCTGGTGGGGCCTCAGCTCAGCCCACCCCTGCTGCTTCAGGCTGCCAGGGAACTCAATCCAGCCTCTGTGTGCTGGGAAGAGCTGGGAAGATGTCACCCAGATGGTGGCTTCCCTGCGGCGCGGCGTCCAGTGTTGAATTTACTGCAGTAGCAACTCCAGCGAGCCCCGGAGGTGTCAGACCTGGAGTCTGGCTCCTCCAGGTTGAGGGGATGGGTGGGCAGCAGACCTGGGTCATTTAAAAGTGTGTCTTCACTCCCCTCTCCCTGTCCCCGTCCCCGCAGGCTATGGCCACACGGTGCCCCTGTCGGACGGGGGTAAGGCCTTCTGCATCGCCTACTCGGTCATCGGCATCCCCTTCACGCTCCTGTTCCTGACGGCGGTGGTCCAGCGCATCACCATCCACGTCTCCCGCAGGCCGGTGCTCTACTTCCACCTCCGCTGGGGCTTCTCCAAGCAGCTGGTGGCCATCGTCCACGCCGTGCTCCTGGGCGCCATCACCGTGTCCTGCTGCTTCTTCATCCCGGCGGCCGTGTTCTCGGTCCTGGAGGACGACTGGAACTTCCTGGAGTCCTTTTATTTCTGCTTCATTTCCCTGAGCACCATCGGCCTGGGGGACTACGTCCCTGGCGAAGGCTACGACCAGAAGTTCAGGGAGCTCTACAAGCTCGGGATCACCTGTGAGTAGCGCGCCCTGGCTCCGCGCCCGCCGCCTCTGCGTGCGCCCCCGCCCCGCCTTGTCTCTGAACGAGCGGCCGTTCGCAGAGGCCCCAATCGCTTTCCCGTTGATAGATTTTCAGTTTCTCCGTCACTATTGCATTCGATCGCGATTCCCTTCAGAACCCTTTATGCAAAAATCTTAGTCTTTCTGAGAGTTCTTTTTCCCAGGCACCTTAAAAGTCCGGATCAATTTCCTACTCATAATAGACATTATAGATTACAGTGTAAACATGCACTAGAGAATTTACTTGATAACCAGCTTTTAATTAAAAATGTTGCTCTACCTTATTAAATATTTGAAACTTAAGAAAAGTACTAGAATTGCAGCCTGTTACAATCAGTCATGTTCTTTAATTTACCAGAAAAGTCTTAAAACAGTGGCTTATTTTATTGCCCATCTGGTTCTTTCTTGAAAGTTAGAATATATTAACCGTTTTCAGAATTTTATATGTGGAAAGTAGGCGTTAAATTTCAGATGGCCAGCGATTTATAATTTTTAAACAGTTTTTAAGAATTCAACATGATATCCTGGGAAACTTGAAAATCCAGTTTTAGGAAACTAGAATTGCATCATAGTGTACATAGTTTTCATTTCTGCCTCATGGAATTTGCACGGCCGCAGCTCTGGTCGGGTCTTCCAGGAAATCGCCATCCGTACCCTGCAGTCAGGTGCTCTGTCTGGGCCCCAGCGTGTAGTCTTAACCAAGGAACCATGTGTATTTTAGCATTTCCAGTAACCACAGGCTCACCCAGGACAAAGACTTCACTCATAAACTCCAGTGCTTTGGAAAGTGCCTGGCTGCCGTACAAGTTCAATAAATACTGGCCAAGTAGTTACAAGGAGATTTCATATTTCCTCTCCTTACCATCATTATTTGTAAGGCCCACATGCTATTTTACCAGGTGGCTCTGCCACAGTCTAACCTGGCCTCTGTTGTCGCATACTTAGATTGCTTCCAATTTGGGGGCATTATAAACAACTATAGTAAACATTTTTCCGCTTCTTCTACTTAGATATTTTTCCAGGAAGTGGCATTTCTGGTCCAAAGTGAATGTGCCTCTTTGTGACTCACAGAATGTACTGACCTGGTGCCTTCCAAGTCACATCTTGAGTTACATGACCCTGGACCGTCTCCCCGGGACAGTTTTGGCGCTCCTGGCGTGCGGGGCCGGGGGGGAGGGCTGGTGGCATTGTAGGCGCTTTGCTGAACGTTTCATACACAGATAAACGTTATCGCAGCTTTCTTTTCATATGTTACCGAATCCTTGCAGAACGTTTTAAGACATGTTGCAATGGGAATCATGGGTTTCTTAGTCTACATAGTGTGTGTGCTGGGTGGAGCAAACGAATCTTCCAACAGTGTATTATTTGTGGATGGGATCAAATCCCATAGCTTTGGCCTGAAACCCTGTGGGTACATTTGTCAGCAGTCAAGGGTTTGACAAATAATGAATAAAGGGAAAGGCAGGAACGTGCCAGTTAGTTTGCTTAACAGTGTCTTTGCTATTTCTAAAATATGCTATATTGTCAACACCTAATAGCCAAATTCTAAAGGTGCCAGAACTGTGTTACTTTACATTCTTAAGATAATCAGCCCCCTTAGTCCTAGCATGCTGCCAATTCTAGCTCCCCTAGTTCATTTATTTTCTGAAAATCTTCCTCAAGCACTTTATCACTGGGACATGAAACTGGAAATTTTGTTCTTAAGAGTTTTTATTTTCACGTTTCTGTTTCTTTCCAGGATGAGTTTTTTTCCCTGATTTTAAACATGTTGAAACTGACTTAAAATTACCTGTTTCCCATCACATAGTCCAAGGAATAGCACTTTACCTGAAGCAACAGGTTGTCTTTTATGTTGGAGTAAGAAGCTGGTAGAATTATTCAATGAACGGTGCATGTGCCAAAAATAAAAACAAAAATTTTAAATTAAAAAAAAGACTGTCACCTAATGAAAAGTGTAGTTCGCTGCAGGGTTGGTGGAAGGTCCAGCCACACACACAGCCTTTTAACGTGTATGTCGATTCTGAAAGGATTCTCATCTAGCTTAAGCTAGTTTCTGCTGCTGAACTTACGCTGTGGGGGCATCAGGATGACCGTATCGAGTCAGGGCGTGTCCAGCTTTGTTGGAGGCACTCAGGATAAATCAGAACTCTTCTAGAATGTCACTGGCCTTTTGTGAGCCACTGGTTATAAATGGCGGGTGGAGGGCCCCCCTCCTCGAAGGTCCCCCTCGGGTGAGGACAGTAATGACGCCACATCAGCCCCAACTTTTGTTTTCTCAGAAATTATGCCATGTGATTTCTAATAGTTCAGTTTGGTGGGGGCCGTCCTTCGTTGTCCCCCGGGTTGCCCCCTTCGGGCCCCGGAATTCCCTGTGTTCCTAGAAATCGGAGGAGTGGCGGTGAGTTTATTCACGAGCAGACACTCTGTGCCCTGACTTGGTTTCCCCGGGCCTGGCCCCGCTGAGACACTCGCTTTCTCACGCAGGCTACCTGCTCCTTGGCCTCATTGCCATGTTGGTGGTCCTGGAAACCTTCTGCGAGCTCCACGAGCTGAAGAAGTTCAGGAAGATGTTCTACGTGAAGAAGGACAAGGGCGAGGACCAGGTGCACATCATGGAGCACGACCAGCTGTCGTTCTCGTCCATCGCGGAGCAGGCGGCCGGCGCCAAGGACGACCCGAAGCAGGAGGAGC